TTTAACAGGTAAAATGACAAGTAAATATGAAAGATAACACATAAAGATTCGCCCCTCGGGCACAATGTCAACAAATCCGCCCCTCGGGCAATATCTCAGAACAGTATCGGCCCCTCGGGCAATCACAAAGAACAATAGCAGCCCCTCGGGCTATAACTCACATCACACTGGGTACCCGCGCTCACTGGGGGTGTGCAGACTCCTGGAGGGGCCCCTTACGGCCCAAGCGCAATAACAAGCCATCTCGTGGCATCATAAACAGGCTCTCGGCCTCATATTAATCAGTATCAGTGTATCATCGCTGCGGCGCGCACAAGGCAAGTGTACGTGCGGCACATGAGTGGTGTTCGGCTTGTGTGGCTAGGTTGGATCCCTGCTTGAGCAACGACGTCCTAGCCCGAATGCCATCTCAGTCATGGCACAAGCGCAAATTAGGCTTGTTCGGCGTCAGTTTTCTATGTTGCATACCTAATGCCAAGGCATTATCAAGCACAATCGGTTGCCTTTCGCCCCTGCGTTCGACGTGCGGGGGGAACCAAAAGCTGCAGTTTGTCCCAGGTTGTCCTCGCTTCGCCCTGCGATGGCTTGGTCCACGACTAGTATGCTCGGACTCTCGGATTTGGTAAATGCAATGGGCATGGGGTCTTCATTGGCTCCTATCTGCCCAAAGAATGCTCCTTACAAATGACGGTCGTGCTCGTCTTGGACTTGGCCGTGCCCTTTTTGTCAGCCATGCTCATGCGATGCCGATGTCAATGAGGAATGCTACCTGGTTGATCGTGCCAGTAGTTATATGCTTGTCTCAAAGATTAAGCCATGCATGTGTAAGTATGAACAAATTCAGACTGTTAAACTGCGAATGGCTCATTAAATAAGTTATAGTTTCTTTGACGGTATCTACTACTCGGATAACCGTAGTAATTCTACAGCTAATACGTGCAACAAACCCCGACTTCTGGAAGGGATGCATTTACTAGATAAAAGGTCGACGTGGGCTCTGCTCGCTGCTGCGATGATTCATGATAACTCGACGGATCGCACGACCATCGTGCCGGCGACGCATCATTCAAATTTCTGCCCTTTCAACTTTCGATGGTAGGATAGTGGCCTACTGTTAGACCCTAACTCTTTGTCATCGGGTGTGGCACGGCTGTGGCAAGGATTTGGGCGTGATGGCCTTGTCGGGCGAAACAATCATGCGGACGACAGACAAGACATTGTCATTGAGGGCTGTTGTGGGCAAGTATTGGCCAAGGCCTTGGGACATGCATGGCGCGCTTGGCAAAGGCTTGACAAAGCTGCGTGGTCAATGTTAGGGCGGCATGGCCCGGCATGCACGCCAAAGTCAGTGGCATGGCACTTTGGGTTGTGGCAGCTAAGTGCGGGCTAAGCTATGGCTAGGCGGAAATGCGGGATGATGGCAAAGGCTTTCAATAGCTAAGGCAAGCTATGTGAAGGAAAATACAAGCAATGGCACGAGGCAAATGAAGGTTGACGTGGGAAAGGCAGAAGCTAGGCCAAGGCAGTGCGCGGGCGGCAGCGGTGTCGGGCGTGTGCGGCAAAATCATGGCAGCGGGTTGTGGGCAAGACATTGGCGCGGAGCAATGTCAAATTGAGCTAAGACTTGGCACAAAGCAAGCCTTAGGTGTGATTCAGCTGGCCAAGTGAAGATGGCACATGCAATGCACATGAAAAGCAGTTTCCGCGGTTACCTTGTCATAACCTCTTTGTCCCATGACTGATTATGCTTGTACCCATTATCCATTTCGTGTATATCATGTCCTAAGTAGTTGGAGATGTCAACTACATGTTAGGATCAGATTTAGCCTTAGCCCGACAAGTGGAAAAAGCTGTAGACAACAAGTGTCATTGTGCTGTCAAGTTCTAAAGGGCTGCCTATGTTCTATAAATAGGGCCTTTGGACTTAGTCGGATTTAGGTGGTAATTTCGTGTGAAATTATAAGTGGGAAACAAGAGTGAAACGTGAGGGTTTTAAAGTATTTCAAAGGGGACTAAGTCCAGGCTTGGGCAGGTCTTAGTGTTGGCTAAGAACGGCTTGTGTTCTTTGTCAAAAGTGGGCTATGAGCGGATTGTGTTCATAGCAAAGTGAGGGTCCTTTGTATGTTTTCGAAATTAATACAAGGGTTGGGAATTTTCCCGTATTGTCTTTGTGTTCTTACTTAATTTCTGATTTGCTGCCCAAAAATTTGTTAAGGCCAAACTTGCTGAAATTTGGCTAAGTGTTAAGGAAGGCTGAGTCAAGTGCGGGACTTGACTGCCGCGCGGGTGTGACTTTGGACTGACAAAAAATGCCCCCGTGACACCTACTGTTAGCCTCTAACAATGAGACTTGACGAAGGTCGGGCAGAATCTGTGTTAAAGGCTTGTACATTGCCCCTTGACATGGGTTTGTGGAAGTGTTGACAAGCAACGTGCAAAGCTGGGTGTGTGTCTAAGTTGGTGATGGACTTAGACAAGTCAGCTAGGCAAGGTGCCTTGAGTGTTGGCAAGGCAGCCTTGGTTCGTGGGCATCAGCAATGGCAACGAAGGCATGGCACTTGACAAAGGCATGCGCGGATAAGTGGGACGACTAAGTTTGTGGCAAGGCATGGCTATGAACTTATGGGTGAGGAATGGTCCAAAATAAGGCAAGGCAGGAGACTAAGTGTGGTAAAAAGCTGGAAGGCAAGTGTGCAAGGCATGTGCTGAAAGAGGTCTGCTATGCATGTGCTTTGGAAGTTAAAGGAATGTGCATAGCACATGTACATTTGACTCTAATGCTGAAGACAAGTCCAATTTCGTGGGAAGGGTTTGAATTTGAATTCAAACAGACTGGTTAGCTTGTTTTTAGGAATGTCATGTGCATGGCACATTGTCTTAACTGCTCCAACTGAATTGCTGTTCTTCGAAGGGCATTGGCTGCTCCAAGCCAAGGCAATGAAGAACGTTCAAAAGTGAAGATCCCTGATCCTAAGGCGTTTGGTGGAGCACGTAGTGCTAAAGAATTAAAGAATTTTCTGTGGGATATGGAGCAGTACTTTGCTGCTGCCGAAGTTTCGGACGGAGAAAAAGTCACAATTACAAGCATGTACCTAACGGGAGATGCTAAATTGTGGTGGATAACTCGCATGGATGATGATGAAAGTTTGGGCAGACCCAAGATAGATACGTGGGTAAAACTTCGGAAGGAAATGAAGGACTAATTCTTGCCTAGCAATGCATCTTGGCTTGCTAGGGATCGCTTGAAACGTCTAAGGCAAACTGGACCTATTTGTGATTATATTAAGGAATTCACTTCCTTAATGATGGATATTCAGAACATGTCGGAGGATGATAAATTGCATAACTTTATTTTTGGAATACAAGCATGGGCACAGAACGAACTTAGGAGACAGAACGTGAAAGATCTCCCGAGTGCGATTGCTGCAGCGGATTCTTTGGTCGATTATCGCAGTACCCGTAGTCTTTCTAAAATTCCTTCTACTTCAAAACCTAAGAAAAGGGCTGAGAAGAAAGGGGAATGGAGGAAAGAAATTCGAAAAGAAGTTGTGGAAAAGGGCAAGGCTATTGCTGATGGAAATGCTAGAAACAAAGGCATCACAAACAAAAAGAGCGATGGTTGCTGGACGTGCGGTGGACCTCACCTTGCTAAGAATTGTCCGAATCGGGAGCGGGTTAATGCTTTGATTGCTACAGAAAATAAACGGGATGGAGAAGGTCAGGAAGTTGCTGCTGCCTCGGTGAATCCTTTGCAATTGCTGAATGTTATCTCGTTGGTTAATGCCACAAGCAACGAGACTAACCCTCATTCCTTGCTGATGCATATTGAAATGAGAATTGGGGACAAAAGTGTGATATCTATGGTAGATACTGGCGCTACTCACACCTTTGTTTCAGCCAATTTGGTGCATAAGTACGGATTGAGTGTGAGTAAATGTCCCTCCTACATGAAGACTGTGAATGCCAAAGCACAAGCCATTGTGGGTATGGCTTATGATGTTCCTATGTCTGTTGGGAACTGGAAAAGGAAAGTTAATTTGATGGTGATTCCATTGGAAGACTTTGAGGTGATCCTTGGAATCGATTTTATGCGGAAACATCGCTTTGTTCCAATGCCTCATTTGGACGGAGTGATGATAATGCATGAAACAGTTCCTGGTTTGTGAGGCTGNCATGAGTTCATAGTTATATTAGTAACTAAAGATAATCATGAGCCTAAAAACACACGAAGTATAAAAAGACAACAAAAATCCTAAACCAGGAAATTCTTTTTTAGAATTTCAAGCTTTCAAAACTAAAATTCAAAATAAAATACATAACTAATGGCGTTTGAATCTTTGGATTTAAAATTATAAACGTACTCTTTGTCCCTCAAGTGAGTTCCACACCCATCAAAGAATATATAATTCATATTATCTTAATATGAAAAGTATGTTAGTTTAAATGAGGAAATAATTTAAATAAGGCAAACTTTTATTATTTTTAAAGTCCTAAATATTAAGAGTTTTTATATATTTTTATTAAGGAAAGATTTCTAGTAAAATTAAATGACTATTTCTAGATATTAGTGGAATAATTAAATGACTATTCCTAAATATTAGGAAATTAATTAGAATGACTATTTTGCCCAATGTAAACTCTATTTTTAAAGGGCAGAAAAGACGAACGATATTTCGCTAAGGGCCTTCGTGCTTTTAATATAGTATAGATATAGATAGATATAAATATTTAATTTTTTTGCCACATCAGCTTTTATGGCGATGTTTAGGACCAAAAATAAGTATAAGGTGGTATTAGAACACCCGTAAAAGTTAAGTGTGCAACTAATTTTTCCGAACAAGTACATGGTGCATCTCATGTATTATCCCTTGATTAAATGATGTCCCAATGGTGATACTAGACCTAGGGTGGAAAATTAATCAGAAAAAGCTATACGGATAATTAATTTACATTAACATTACTATATATTGAAGGAAAAGATGGCAAATAATTCCCTAGCCACTTCAACCCTTAAAAACCTGTGTCTTTTCTCCAAGTTTACCCTAAGTGTACCATACCTTTTCGTTTTCCATGGCTAACACCCGCCCTGGAAAATGTGATTTGGGCTCTTACACCATTACAGGCATCGACGAAGTTGTCAGAGGTAATTCACATTCTGATAAGTCCCTTTTCAGTGATAAAATCATAAAGATTTAGATATATATATTTAAAGATTACTAAAATTTCAATAAATATTACGTTGTGAACTCATAGTTTTAAAAATCCGATGAGTTCTGTGATAAAATCATAAAGATTGAACCCAGCACGTTAAAATCCTGAATCGCCTCTGAGGTGAGGTGGGCTCCCTTCGGGGATTGCAGCAGGAATTTGAGTATTTTAGTATTTTCTTGGACGATCAAGTGTTTAATTTAGGTTTCCGAAGAAAAATATATGGATTTCTCTAGCCATGTACATATAAAAATAATAATGTATATAGAAGTATCGCTCCTACTTAATAGTACTAATAATTTTTCCTTCAGCTTAGAAACTAACCTATCTTTTTGAATTTGTTCAACCATTGGCCTTAAACAAAGCCTTATCTATTTAAATATTTTTCTCTTGCAGCCAATTATATATTGACATAAAAACACAATTAGCTATGTACTATAGTATTAAGGATATGCATCTAGCTGCTTATTTATGTTGCTGCTGTTAGGGATTTTTGGAAATGGAATTTGCTCCTTAATTATCATGTAATTGCGTTATTTTGAATTGCATGACTGAAGATTTTGATTGCTATGACTATATATGTAGCTGGGGATTGTGTGTTGATGCGGCAATCAAGAACTGATACGGTTCTACATGTGGCACGTGTAGAGAGAATCGAAGCTGATAACTGCAACAATATAAAGGTTCATGTTAGATGGTATTATCGGCCAGAGGATTCAATGGGAGGGCGGAGAAAGTTTCATGGAGCAAAGGAATTATTCTTGTCTGACCACTACGATGTTCAAATTGCCCACAGTATAGTAGGAAAATGCAATGTTCATTCTTTTAGGAAGTATACTAAGCTTGAGAATGTTGGTCCGGAGGATTACTACTGCCGGTTCGAGTATGAAACGGCAAGTGGAGCTTTTGTACCAGATATGGTTGCAGTGTAAGTGTATGAAATTCCCCGTGGTTGCTGATTAAAGTTGAGTAATATTTTTGAAGTTGAGTAATATTCTTCATGCTCATAATTCTTTTTTGTTGCTCTGAAGGTATTGCAAATGTGAGATGCCATGTAATCCAGATGAATTTATGGTAAAATGTGTGGAGTGCAAGGAGAGGTACACATCATTTCATCTTTTTGCTTAAGTTGCTGATTGTTAAAAATGAGTTACTTGCATCAATTTCCTCTCCGTTGAAGATTGGAAAACCAACCAATAAATTTTAGTGAACGTTAGATGGGACATAAAAAGAGTTCTCTCTACAGTCGGACTAACTCTGCTCTGCCTTCTTAGAATGTTCGAGTTCTGTTACTTTATTAGTTTTCAGTTGTCTTTAAGAACCAGACATTTCTTCTTTCCTTAGCTCTAGTGCAATGAATGTCAGTTTTTCTTGCATATTCTTGTTCAGTATACATTGAAGAGCTTGTATATGTGTAAATTAAACTGGAAAGTCCTTGCTAATCTTTGCACTATGATACTAAGTAAAGGGGTATTTTCATGTGTATCAACTTATCTAAAAAGAAGAACAAGAAATAGTCTTTTTTCGAACTGGTGTCATTTCCTTAGTTTCCAGCATGATAAATACAGAGGCCTGTCTAAAGGTTCTGTACATACATAAAAGACTTCCATATCTCAAATGATCTAGCCATATTGTGTATAATCTGTTAAGAGTCACTGTTCTGAAGATGCAACTGTACATTCGAGGCTGGACTGATTGGTTAAACCAAAAGACATCTGTGTCGATTATACATTGCATGCTTTTATTTCTTACAATTCTTTCCTTTGGTCTTTTGCAGGCATCATCCAGCCTGTGTGGGCATGACTATTGAACAAGCTAAACAAATAGATCACTATGTTTGTTCCGGTTGCTCGCAATAAGGAACATGTCGTAGTAGGATTGAGGGATTAAAGCTCGACCTACCTGAGAAATTTCAGTAGCCACGCAGGAAAAATTTGATGTGTAGTCGTTTAGGTTCAAATTAAACTCCGAAATTATAGTATTGAAACTTTTTACTCTCTGTTCTTGAGTTTAAATCTTTATTTTGAGTGATTGAAGCACGTTCAGCATCCTGGTAAATCAAGATATATATATATATATAAATACTAAACTAAACCATGTATCTACATTCACACAGGGTCCAAGGAAGGGCCGCACCCAAGGGGTACTCCAAGATATAAATACTACACTAAAAAGTTATAAGCAGAGACTTTTGAAGTAAAAGAATAAGGTCATTAGTTCATTACTGCTTCTGCTTGAGAGTTGAGACAGTGATGGTAAGCAGAAATTTTATTCTTACCTACAGTCATTACTCATTTGATTTATTTGTTGTTTGTAATTTAAGTATAAAATTGGCTAATCTCAGTTGCATAATTGAAATTTCAGCTTGGTGATTATAACACTAGCTGCTTCATTGTTGTACATAAAAGATAGATTTAGCTCACAATAAATACTCAAAAAGTATAAGTGAGTGATGTTTCCTATTTAGTCCTCTTATATTAAATGAGGGTCTGACTTCAGTTATGTAATGTCATCTATTCTTTTCCAAATATGGAAAAGTAAACTACACTCTCTATAGCATCTACGTTTCAAGGGGCAACAGATCCATTTCGACCAAGTTTAGGACTTTAGGGGGGTAATATGATCTCCACAAACTTTGAATAATATTCAGTTTCTTTTTCAAAAAAAAAAAATCATATCAAAATCAAATAAAGTTTCCTAATTTTTTAAACATTCTAGAATATACATATTAATACAACTTTCTCATTGTTTTGTTCTTCAGAAAAAAATTGTAAGTCTGAAATCGTAGTGTTTGCTTTCAATTTAGAGTTGCTTTTCGGGAAATCAAATTAAAAATTTTTTTTAGATTCCTAACCCAAGTTTCTATCAACTAACGGCTCATTTCATTCGGCTTAACCTTTCAATCTTTAGCTCTTCAAAGTTTCAAAATAACTTGGAAACCAGAGTTATTTAATTTATTATTGTATAATCACCGTTCAGAGAATAGTGGTATTTTGTTAATCTATTTTCATGTTTTACTTGTAAATTTGACTTAAGTATATGATAGAATTCAGTTATTTATTTTAATGAAGCATCTAATCTAGAAATTCAAAAACATATATCTCAAGAAACGAATCAAAACACATCAAAATTTGTTTTCCCAAAATTATTTACACAAATACCGCCTCAATTTCAAGAAGAGGATGTATTTTTAATTGGTCTAAGATTTTATTGCTATCGCAAAATAAAAAAAGATATGCTACTTATTATATTTTATTTTATATGACACACATTTTTATTTTGAAGAATGATATTTTACTCCTTTTGGAAAATAGTTAATTTTATTATTTTCAGTTATCCTTAATGACATGGCTCATTGGCACCCTCACCATCAATCATTTAAAATAAAAAAGAATATATGATATTTAGAGCTGTCAAAACGGGCTAGCCCAGCCCAACCCAGCCCAAGTCTCATGGGCTTTTAAATTTGGTGGACTAGGGCGGGTTGGCCTCCATCTATATGGGCCTTAAAATGGCCAGCCCAGTCCAATCCTAAGAGGGCCGCGGGTTAGGGCGGTCGGCCCTTCAATTTTTTTAGAAAAGAATATTTCTCCAAATCTTTAGATATTTTTTCGTGATATAACCTCTTGATCATATGAACGACTTCTATTTATTTAGAGTGTACAAGAATCTTGATATTTAACAAGGAATCTCGTAATTGAAATGCAAATTCTCTATATCTCTAGCTCTTTTTTTTAAGGTTACATGAATATTTTTTAGTACTTTTCTTTCACTTTCCTTAGGTTCAGGAATTGCTTCGATAATTTTATATGTTAAGGTTTTTTAATTTAGGTTTAACATTATTTGTCGATTTCATCACTATAGTCCATGAAATTTTTAAAATTCATGATATTTGCTAGTATTGTCAATTCTTTTTGGGTTTTAAAACTTGACCTTTTTCTATACTGAAGAGCAATTTAATAATTAATAATATATTAAAGTAACCAGATTGATCATTGGCCACTTAAAATAATATTTTCTTTTGAAAAAAATATTATTGGCCACTTAAAACTTTCCTAGTTCGTTGTTAATTAAGCAAAAGAAAAACTGATCTTGTCATACTACATGCATATCAAAAATATAAATTCTAGTTGATATGGAACGGTAAATGAGCAATCTAAGGTTGGAAAATGGGGATTATAGTTAATATTTTTTTTAGTTTTTACTTTTTTTAAAATATTTAATTTGAATATAATTAATTTTTGGCCCACGGGCCAGCCCAGGCCCAGCCTCGGTCAAGCCTCAAGGGCCAGCGAGCTGACTTGGGCCGGACTTGTAAGCCTCAATTTTAAATGGGCTAAAAAAATTCCAACCCAACCCTACCCAAGTAGCGGGCTGGGTTGGTCTGGCCCTCACGGGCCAAGCCCATTTAACGGCTCTAATGATACTCTTACCGCCTCTCATTTAAAAAAGAGAAATTTTCATAAAGCACTATCTTTTAGTGGTAATTAGCTATCTATAGATAGCATTTGCTATATTACGGATTGTAGATACGTTTTCTGTTGTTATAAGATGTATTCGATGTATTTAAGCTACTATATTCATGAATACAGTAGCAAAAATAGGCGTGAATCAAGGAAGTCCAGCTAATCAGTTGTTGTATTCGAGTGTATTCGACTGTATTCATGGCGTGAAGCATGGGATTACAACTGGACAACTTATTGTATTCGACTGTATTCACGGCGTGAAACAGGGGATTACACTGTTTTTAAACGGAAAGTGAATCAATTAACATAATAGACTCCTAATATAACTCAACAAACTCAATTATAACACACAAAATTTGTATTTCCAGTTATAAAAAAGGTTTTCAACCAAAAAATACCCCAAAAACATAGCAATCTTCAGATAAATTATATAATACATCTGAATACATAAATTATATTAATTAAAAAAATACATGAATACATTCATGGCATATAGCAAGATAATGAATACAAGGAAATACATAGAATACAGCAGGATACATTAAAATGCACTTGAAAAAAGACAGTGAATACAATGAAATACATGGAATACAGCGAGATACATTGAATTACAATAAAAAAAAAGACAATGAATACAATGAAATACATGAAAATACAGCGTGATACGTTGAAACTACATTGAAATATATTAACAGAAAATCAAGTTGCTCAACCCCAAACTCTATTGAAATTGCTTGTGGCTTTTTGCAGTTCGTTGTAGTCAAATACGTGAATTCTGAAAAAGTGTGAAGCCTTTTCAGGGTACGTTATTGAGGAGGGATAAGAAAGGATGCTACTGGAGATCAAAAACTAACCATCGTCACTTTTCTTCTGTCGACGACGATAGAGAATGAAAATTACACATGCCGCAAAGGCAGTTAATGATTGTAATTGGGTACAAGCATCAATCGGATACTAAAGTTGGCGGCGATATCTGTGGCGGCGTTAATATTCTTGGTATTGCTTGGGCTTTTGGTGGCACGATCTTTGTTGAGATTGAGCATCGTGTTTTCAGGGAATAAGGAAGAGAATGACATGTATCAAAGTAGAGAGAGAAAGAAAATAATGTAACTAAATAGCATATTTAGTGGCTTAGGGGTCGGAGGTAACCAAAATTAGATATTTTGCTACAAACATTAAAAGGTATCTATAGAATATAATTTTTTTAAATGATATTTATTTAAAATAAATAAAGTGTTAACCTTTGCTATAGGAGATAAAAATTCCTTTAAAAAAAGGTACTTTTGACGCTTTGGATATATTTGGCTTTAATACTAAAAAGTTTTCTTTAATTTATTAGATCCATTCAACCACTTTTACATACAATGAGACTAATGAATTATTGGATAATTCCACTTCAATTAATAGGAACTTAGAACTTTCATCATAATTTTCAGTCAAAAAAGGAGCATAAAGTGTAGGGACCAAGGGAGTGGGGCTATTTCAAATCTGTCACTCAGCATAGGTCTACGTTAGTCCACTATTGTGTATTGGTCAAGCCGGAAAAATTAATTTATTTTGAAAAATATTTTTTTTACTTTTCGAAAAAGTATTTTTCGAAAAAAGCAATTTGTGCATGACAATTAATTGGAAAATTACTTTTGAACAATAATTTGTATTTGACCAAACTTTTCAAAAAGTACTTTTAAGTATCAAATTATTAATATGGACATCAATAGATTTACTTAATCATTAATATTATATAAGTTCTTAAATAATCACAAATATTTATTATTAAATACAATAATTAAGTTTTTATTTTACTTACATAAAATATAAAAATAAAAATAAAATTGAAAGGTAATTTATTATTTCAAGATGATTTAAATATATCAAAACATTATTCAACAAATATGAAAGTTTACTCCAAAAGTTATTATATAGTATTACTTAATAATTTAAACTAAGTAATGTTATTTTTGTATGTACAATATTTTGCTAAGGGTACTTTTGGTATGTTTCAAAACTACTTTTGCTTCCGTGGAGAATCTATTTTTTTGTGCTTCTCAATAGCTACTTCCTTTTCTACACAAAAATACTTTTTCTCCCTTAAAAAGCTTGACCAAACACCTCAAGTTAAGGAAAAGAGCAATTTTTTGAGGAAAAAAAAAATACTTTTGGACTTGGAGAAGCTTGGCCAAACAGGCTATAAGTCTTTTAATAGTATGTTCGACCAAGCTTATCCATGGGCTAGAGCACTTTCTTTCTTCTTCTTTTTTTGTTTAAAAAAAAGTATTCGTTTCATATTAAAATTGAAGTATTTGGCCAAACTTTTAGAAAGAAAAAAAATTATATTTCAGTAGACACAAAAGCAGTTTAGGAGAAGCAAAAAAATAGCTTCTCCGCAAAAATACTTTTTAAAAGTATTATTGAAAAAAATACATTTAGAAACACTTTTTAAAAGTTTTTCCAAATACTAATTCTTGCTCATAAGTGTTTCTCAAATTAATTGGTCAAACAAAAACTGCTTCTTACCAAAAGCACTTTTGAGAAAAATACTTTTAAATAAAAAGAGAAATTACCAGTTATGACTGCCCATA